GCTGAAAGCATCACAACGAACTGTTTATGTGCCATATATAGTTTACCTTGTATTTACTGGGACTCGATGCGCTTTAACATCATTTAAAATAACTTTTAGTCAAAGACTACTTCCACTTCTCAACACAACACTTACTATTGCTGACTTTGATTTTTCATCTGGAAATGGAATTAACAGCAACAAAGAATATATGCACACATTGCTGGATTAAAGGCTGAATAAAGACTTTAGCCATGGTGTTAAGATACCAAAATGAAATAAATAATTAAATAAGAGTAATAATAATCACTTCTGAATAAAGTGGCATCATGGCAAGCTACTCCAAACAAATCTACATTTGATAACACAATACTGAACCCTAACCAAGCCCTCACGGTAGGTTTCCTACTTTTGCAAAGTTATTTTGTGGAGAAACACATGATTCCTTTCAAGATAAAAATAAATATATATGAAATTATAAAATAATAAAATAATAAACGGCCAACTCAGGACCTCCAAAAGTTCTAATCCCTGCTTTCATATAAACCATGCCAAGAAATTACATGACACAGTCTAAGAAGATAATGTAATTTCTCCAGAGTGAAGCCAGGCTCGGGTGCTCACCACAGCAATCCAAGCCACAGCCTCTGAGGTGTGATTTATCTGTTTGTAGCAGTGATTTGTTGCAGGTGTATACGCCATTTCACCCCTCAAATGTACCATACAACATGCACTGCCAAGGTCCCTACAGATATACAGCCCACCATGGCTCTATTTTTGAAGCAGTTAATGATTAGCCCTCAGGCCACTGATGAACAGTTGCCTGCAGACAGGTAATAAAACAACTATATAAATGTATCTTTGTGAGCAAAGCCAAACTCATACGGTAGATGTGGCTCTCCTTGCTCACCTCAAATGTGCTTAAATTGAGAAAGATAATAATGAAAGACAAAATTTGATATAATATTGGTCGTGTAGTTGATTTTCTCTGAAGTGTTCCTCCTAACATTTCCCAGGTATCTATCTATCTGTCTATCTATCTGGGCACCAACACCCTCAAGATGTCCATCAGCTATGGATTAAATCTTCACATCACTGCCTTCAGACAAACAGAGACAAAAATAATATTTGCCAGGGAGAAGGTTTTTTTTTGAAGTTCTTGGCCCTTCAGCACTTCAAAGCAACTTGTCAGAAGCTGTCGGTTTAAATTAGAGGACTACTCCTTTACGGCACTGGTTTTTTTTTTTTGACTGGTAAATCTGCAGGCTGTCTCCAGCAATCACAGAGCATCACACATACTCAAGCATGTACACATTTGCACTCTATTTGTTCTACTGTGCCGCCAAAAACTTTTAGATCCGCACAGTCACACAAACAGAAGCAGGCATGCGCTGGTGCTGCACTTGAACTCTGCCGATGGTTTTCTCATTACAAACTAAATGGTTTAAACTGATGAAGCTGTAGCAGTCTGCCTTTTTCTCTTTCTTCTCAAAGTGTCGAAGCAAATAAATTCTTTTTCATCTCTCATATTATCTCCAGGGGCATGCAGATAGCAAACACTCCTCAAGTATGCAGAAGACGCACACTGATACACACAGTAAATACAAAGTAAAGTAAATACTCCTCAGAAGTGGTTAAAGCTCTCCCCAGTTAGACCAGCCAATCAATGACATCTTTATTCATCATTGCTATATTTTAATCATCTTGCTTATCTTAATGGTGTTTGTATTAGTAGTATTTTTTAGGACTTTCTAACATAGGACAATGCATTAACATGAAACTCTCACTAGTAAAAGTTACTACACACTGATGCCTATTTAACGCATGTTATGCTTTCAAACGAGTATCAGGTTATGGGGATAATATATGCAAATGAATCTAGAGTGTACATAGGTGGAGTGCTTTAAAACTGATCCTTCTGAGACATGTTTCTAAGTATTTCATTACGACCGATTTGAAAGCAAGAACAGCCTACCAGGAAGACATGAGAACCAGCTTTAGGCAGAATTAGCCAAAGCCACGAAAAGCAACTTACATAGGGATAGAATCAAAAAGCTTCACAGAGATCCTAATACAAAATGTGTTTTTCTAACACAAAGGCAGAAAAGCCTGCAGCTATAGCTATTATATTTGTTCTGTCATGTCATGTCAAGAAATGAAATCTCAAAAAAGATGCAAAAAGAGAGGGAAAAATGACACAGTGGTCTCAGACACATGTGCTTGTACTTGAATCAGAGAAGGTTTTGCAGGCTTAACAGATGTTGGCTGGTTATATAATTCCTCCCACTGGCTCTAGTTGTTTTTGGCCAGCTTGAGCGTTGTCTACCCATACACTGTGTTACTGCCTTTGAAATCCCTTTTAGTAGACGAGATTCATACCAGTATAGCGATGCACTGATATGAATAAAATCATGCCCATCTCATTTCTGTAGACAACGCAGCATGTGCCATTTGGTACGCTTAATAAACACTCAAGCTTGTATACTAGTTCCACAACATTTCTCCTCAGTATTTTGGATAGATTCCATCACTCCACTCTGCACTGCTGCTGCCTACAGAGAATGTGATTGACTGCTTGATAAACAACCTCATCAGTTTGTGCTACTGACCAAAAAAAATCCCCTTCTGCTACACATTTACATAAGCAAGACTAGGCTAGACTTAACTATGAACAAAAGATGTAATCTACAGTTTATTATTATTTATTGAAGTGGGAAAAATACACTCACTGGGCACCTTTTAAGGTATATCTTGCTATTCCTGAGTTGAACCTCCTTTTGCCTTCAGAGCTGACTTAATTCTTCATGGCATATATTCAACAAGGCGCTGGACATTCCCCAGAGATTTTGGGTCATACTGACATGAGAGCATCACACAGGTGCAGCAGAATTTTCAGCTACACATCCAGAATGTGAATCTCCTGTTCCAACACATCCCAAAGGTGCTCTATTGGATTGAGATCCAGTGACTGTGGAGGCCATTTGAATACAGTGAACTCACTGCCATGTTCAAGCACGAATTTGAGATCATCTGAGTTTTGTGACATGCCAAGCCAATATCCCCCACATGCATTCATGTGGTTTATTCCAAATTCAGACCCTACCAACCCAACAAAAGTTGCAACAGCAATCAAGACCCATTAGACCAGGCTATGTTTTTCCAATATTCTGTTATCAAAATTTATGGAACCTGCTCCTTCAAGATCTGACGGGTTGTCAGGTCAATTCAAAGACGCTCTTCTGCATAGCTTGGTTGTAAGAAGCAATTATTTGAGTTACTTTAGCGTTCCTAGCAAGCCTCTCCTCTGACCTTTGGCAACAATAGGGCATTTTTGCCCAGAGAACTCCTGCTCACTGTAAATTTTCTCTTTTCTAGGCCATTCTCTAGAGATGGTTGTGTGAAAAAAATGCAGCAGATCAACAGTTTATGAAATATTCAGCCCCTCTGGATCCAACAACGAACACTTAAATCACCTTTCTTCTTCATTCTGATGCTTAGTTTGAACTTCAGCAGGCCATCTTAACCATGACTGCATGCCTAAATGCAACAAGTTGCTGCCATCTGGTTGGCTGATTAGATAATTGTGTTAATAAGCAATTGAACAAATGAACAAGGGAATGTACACAATGTATCCCTCTCAAATACCGTTGGATTTCCCAGTCAACACAAATCCAACCAAAAGATGTGTCAAGCCTCCAGATTTGTTATGACCTGGCCTTCAGCAATGACTAAACATAATGAAACCTTTCTTTCCATGGTGCCAAGACACTGACTGCTCATATGATTCCTGTTAAACCCAGACTTTGTGCTTTGTCAGTATATTAGAGAATAGCACAACGTAAAATCTAAAACTCACTGCAAAGAAAAACAAAATAATTATGCCTCTGTAATTTTTTTTCTCCTGACGATTTCTCTCTGGTTTTTCGTTTGAAGCATGGGGACCAGTGTGAGTTAACGGTTTAAAACTGACTTCCCAAGAGTGTGACACTGCCTCCATAGCCTGTCAATTAATTCCTTGTTTATTTTAATAGAAGTGATGATAGGCAATATTCAGAAGTGTAACGCTTCACCAGATATGGAGCAGACAGACAGGCCTACCCATTCAAACTCTGTGAAGCTTGCAAAGTTAGGCCCACACACACAAGATGTTCCACTCACTTACAGCACACACAAATCCAAATCCACAAATAGACCAAAAAACTCATAACTCATAAACCCACAGGATTAAGATGCAACCAATACGCTCATGGCTTTCACAGACACTTCACCTCATGTGACATCACTGCACAGCAATAAAGATTAATGCAAAAAACAAATGAGGCCTCTCAGCGTGTAGATGTATGACTTTGTGTTGCATTTCAAGACACTACCAAGATTCCTGGTCACTGTAAGAAACTAGATGTATAATGAAAAAAATGAACAAATTCAGTTACTGTACTCAGCAGTGAGAAGCAACAGAGTCTCAGCTTTGTGCTACAGTAACAAGATACACAACCAGAAACAGCTTGGCTACGTCTGCACTGCACCTTTGCTGACTTATTTGGGAGGCAAGGTAGTCACACTTGGATAACCTCACGTTAAGCCTCACATAACTGCACAGAAGATGGGAAAAAGGCCATTGCATTCTTAATTCTGGAAGACAGAAGTTGGCAATTTTTATCTGCCACCTTGTTGTTGTCTAGATTGATGTCTTAAGGTTCTTCGGGCACTGTACAAGGGCAAATTTTATGGTAGCGGCCATTTTTTACAGAAATTAATCTGGAGTAGCAATAAAAAAAAAAAAAAACAACTTACTGGACTTCTCCATAACTAGGAAGATACATATAAATATATTTTGAATGCTACTCATTTCCAAAACAGGTGGATTTTTCTATACCTAAAAGAGAAGACAATCTAACTGAGATGAATGGTATGAAACAGAACAGATCCAGCAAGTAAAATATGTACTTTCTTTGTAAACTAACAAATAAAATGCAGTTAACGATGCAGCTGGCTGCTGTTTACTGTTATAAGGCTCTTACCTCTGGGAGAAAATGTCCCTGTAGGGGCTGCCGTGCTGCATGGCGATACCGTATCCACGGTCTGGTGCGTTGTTGCTGACGGTGTAGAAGGAGCAATCCTCATCATTATTAGCAACGTACTCCAGCACTGCTGCATCCCACACAAAACCAAACCGGCCATACTTCACCTGAAAGACATTTACAAGGTGGTTAACAATGCTCAGAAAGGTGCATCGGAGGTCATGCAGAACACATCCCAGAGCATTCAGCACTTGAGTTATTGAGATGGTTTTCTAAGAGATCCAAGAATGGCTCACAGGTTGAAAATTGAACTATTTAAAGATATTTATGGGCTGAATCGTCTTAGACCTTTTCTGCCTAACGTGCTCTAAGGGGACCAATTCACCCCAGTGCTGAAATTTCATAACTACAGTCAGCAGTTTTAGTCCAAAAATGTTGTGTCGAGCCAAGATTACACTATTTGTGCGTTGCAGGACGGCAAACTTCATAGCACAGCACAGCAATTTTACTGTTCGGCATTCCCCCTTGACTGTAGATTCATGTAGTGTTTTGGCTCATCTTCATTGAACCCTGCATAGGTGTGTGTTGGATCTGTTTTTCATTTTCATGTCCTTGTTGTGTATGTGCATGGTCAAACTGCGGGTATGAGTGAGATAGCAGCTTGTGCGTGAGAAGAATTGGAAATGGACTCAAGGTGAGAATCACAGTTTATTTCACAGTACAAGCCAAGGTGCCTGTTGTTAACATAGCTTCTAGTTAATATTCTGTAAATCTACGGGATATTTTCGCAAGAAAATGAAAAATGGAGAATAAACAACCAGATTGGGACATTCACATCTTAACACCTCTTGACAATTCACATAAATAGCCTCGGGTGACAACAGGCACACAGACACACACTTCTCCTCTAATACATTATTTTGGACTTGGTGTGTCATTAACTTTAATGGAGATTTATAAATTTTTCAAAACCCTCTGTCTTTGTGTGTGTGTGTGTGTATCACCTCACTTGGCCTATGTGAGATGACTAATGTCTGAGAACTGACAAGACCTTGTGATTGGGTAATTTCACAGCCTGTAGCTCTCTGCAGTGTGTACATGTGTGTACGTGTGTGTGTTCAATAATTCACCGCAGGGCATCAGAATAGCAAATTCAGCTCTTTACAACCTTAAAAAGAGAAGAGAACACTTTATTACTTTTAAGAATAATTTAATGGCTTTTCATTATTGCTTTTGAATTGAAAAGATTATGGGCTTTGTGCTACGTAAATTAGCAAAAAAATCTGTTTCAACAGCTTAAAATTGAGCATTAAGGGCACTTTTCCCCTACATTTGGGTGAAAAGAGCTCAAATCAATTATTAAGCACAATATATGTGCAGTGACCTCTGATGTCAAATCAACCAAAGCTCTGCTAATCTGATTAACACTGTCATTGCCCTTTGTGTAAAAACCCCAACAATCAGTCAAAAAAAGTGCCAGTAATATACCCCAATGACACCATTTGTAATTTTCCTAACATTTAATGTTTTAGCTTGTGTATTGAATTGTAAATGGTGCCCTGCAAGGGAGAGAATGCAAGCAAACAAATAGGATGGATGTAAAAGCCTCTATGTGTGGATGAAATTAAGACAGAGTGGAATTCATGTGTTTGCTTTGAGTAATATTGGGGAAACAAAAATAGAGTTGGCTTTACACAGGAACACAAAAAATATGAATGTAATTGTATAAAAATGAGTGAGTTTAAAGGCAGCAGAGAGCTATGCAAATTCTAAAAAAATGCACTGACATAAAATATTAGCCTGTGGCCTAAATGACTAGCCAGAAAAGAAAATATGGGGGAGCAGAGGTTTAGAACATCAGCTTCAATTTTTAGTGACAGAAATGTTTCCTGTTGTTCCATTTTTTAATGAATTGCACATTGAGTAATAATGAAAAACTCTTCAGTAGTGCTTTTATGATAAAAATGTCACTTGGTTATGACTGAGCGCCGTGATTTTTCTGTTTCCTATTGTGTCTTTTAGTCACGAGGTTGTTGATCTCACAGGATCAGTTAATACAAACACCGGTTCAATATGTCTTTTTAAAGGTTACATCAATTCCACTACGTTACAGCGCAATCACATAAAAAAGGCATTGTCCCGGTAATGAAGAGGATGCTGTAGCCTGTGAAGGGAAATGCTTTTGCCTCCAGCTGCAGCTGTTTCATAAACAATGTACAATATGTGTGAATAGGGAGCACTTGATTTTATGCACCAGAACAGCCACTCTACGTGCAAAGCTTAATAAAGGCTCGTAACCTGGTTAATTACTGACGACAAAATCTCACTTAGAATGGTACCATAGAGTGATGTGCTGAAGGCCAGCTTACTTCTTTTTACATAGTGTATCTGAAATGTATTAGCACTGTGTTCTGACTTTCTCTTTCATGGTATTTCTTATCCAGTTTATGAACGGTACCACTGCTTGTGTCTGACGCTTGTAGTTCATGACCCTCAGGTGTGCAAAGAATGAAACAGAATTGTGGTACGGAAAAAGGGAAGAGACTAAAATGTCTTCAACTTCAGCATTTATCGCAATAGAAAAAGTAATGTCACTGCTGGTAAATGTAAGGCAGCGGCTTGAGCGATTGCAATGATTTTCCATGTGCACGGCTGAAGAAGCTTCTCCTTAACAATTTGGCGGTTGCATTAAAGCTGTTGCATCAAAACTGTTTGAACATAACCGTAATAAAAATGGCGTGGTTACCACAGTAAATACATAATAATGTTAATTTTTACTGAATGGTAGAAGTAACATTTTCTCTCACATCCTTCACTTGCAATTCACAGTAAAGGAGATAGGGGATGCTTGTCAGCGGACCAAATAACTGTGAGGAACATGAGGGTGAGTTTATGTTTTGAAATGAAAAATGTAATGCTTTTCCATCTATTAAACCCATAGATTTCAATGTAACATTTTTTTTTTACCATTGCGTATTTACATATTTTTCTCTTTTTCCCACTGTAATGTCCATCCACAGTTGCACTAGTAATATAACACAATTTTAAAAACAGGTATACAATAATAGGAACGCATATACAGATTATGTATATTCATGTCATTATTTCAAATTATAGTCAGAGAAGTACCAAGATATTAACCCTTTAAGTCCTACCAAGTCCGCCAGAGCTTATATTATATTTTTACATGTTGTAGTGCCATTTTTGGGAGCATTTCAAGTTGCTATACATCAATACAACCATTATAGCCCAAAATTTCATAATATGTATGCATTAAGTGCATAGTAATTACATAAATTGCAAAAAAGTGCAATCAACTACAAAAAATTTAAAATCGTTTTTGTTTTTTTAACATATATTTCTAGTTAGAGAAATTTAAGAAGCTTATCCCTCAAAACTGCAAATACAAAGGAGTTGCGCAAAATAGTTTTCCATCACAGGAAATTTATTTTGAGTGTCTTTATAGTTTTATTTTTGAAATACACCAATTTTTATATACTGCAGTAAAAACGAAAGTAAATAGTATGATGCAAATTTGCAAAAAAACAGCATATGCATTAAAATAAACTATTTCCAGCAGTGCAATATGAGTTCTAAGCATCCCAGAAATGATACAGAAAGTCATAAAATCAAACATGACTTTTAAAAACACCAGTATAGGCTCATAAGGCCCTGAAGGTAAAAAACTACATTTCCGCAAAATGACGTCACTTCCGGTTTCAGGCAGGTCATGGCGGATATGCGATAGTTCGCGCTGATGGACGTAGGAAGTGTTACAAACAGCTGATCGGATCGGCAAAGCGTGTTTCTGGAATATTATGTTTTTGTTGCTGCAAGTGCTTTTTATGCAGTTTTTGCAAAACTATAGCTGATGGCATAAGTAGATGTAAGTACAACTCCTTCGGTTTCATATGCAAAAAAAATTATTGCGCTAGCTTACATGGTTGCAGTTCTACCGGGATTTAAAAATAGTTACGCAAAACGGAGCGTGCTGCTCTGACCGGCTTTAAAGGGTTAATAGGTAATGGGTTACTATTCACTAAAAACCTGTTTATAGCAAATCTCATCATCTACAAATTATGCTTACAATATGATGAGAAATAAAATTTCTACTGGGTTATGTTTTTGATGACTATGACTATTTGACGACTGTTTTATCAAATGTAGAGCTCATTTAATTGTTTTTCAGATGATCTCCAGGATCTCTTAAATGAACACAATCCACCATGTGCCATGATCACTGAGTATTTTTGGTGCTAAATAACATTTCGCATTTTAGGGGTTCATAAACCCTCCCATTATCATACAAATGGGGTGACTGGGGGGGGGTTGGAATATTCTTAGACTACACTGGGAGATATTTTTTGGTGCTTTCATTTGCAGGTGTGCTGTCTTCAGGTTCTTCTGGTGGTAATAACCGCGTTTGTATTTGTCGAGTGAACTTTGATTAATTGCGTTCAGGCTCAAGTTTTAAAATCCTTGAAAATGTTTTCAATGCGTGTCTAAGTTATCATGCTCTTGCCGAATGTACTTGATATGCAAGTGATTTTTATCTCATGCAACACTAACTGCTGCATCTAATATCCAACCCACACACACTGTACAGACGTGCTCCTTCCTCTCTTCCACAGGTCCAGGGTTGTGCCTCTGCTTGGGCCAAGGTAATTAAATCATAAGCTACTTTTCCCAGAAACATTGACACTCTGGAAACAATCACAGTCACACGCAGATATACCAAAACAAACACACCCAAGCACAGTCGCACCCAAACACAGACCACACAATCATACGGACACACACTATCAACCACCAATGCATCCTAATCACTGCATTGGGCCTTGTTTTCTTGTCTCATGAATGTGACAAAGACAACTCGGTAAGATCCATAATCACTAAATTAAAGTTAATTGCAGCGTCTCTCTTTTTTCTGCTTCCTATTTTTTCTATGACTCACGCCACTTTTTCATTTCCATCCCTCCTTCCTGAAAAGGCTTCAATTCAACTTTATTTATATAGCGCCAAATCACAACAACAATTGCCTCAAGGAGAGAAAATGAAACCAATTCTGTTGCTCTTTCATTGTTTATGGTCTATATATCTTGTTTATCAGTTTTAAAGGGGTTTAGTGATGGTAGAGCTCATTTAATGAAGCCATAACACCACTGAA